GGTTAAAATTCTAAATGAAGCGTTGTATAATAATCGAAATTCTTAAAGAAGATATCAATAAATAAAATTAATATTTTAAAATATTTAATTGAAGCCTTTATACGAGGGTTAAAATTCTAAATGAAGCGTTGTATAATAATCGAAATTCTTAAAGAAGATATCAATAAATAAAATTAATATTTTAAAATATTTAATTGAAGCCTTTATACGAGGGTTAAAATTCTAAATGAAGCGTTGTATAATAATCGAAATTCTTAAAGAAGATATCAATAAATAAAATTAATATTTTTAAAATAAAAAAATTTTTTAATAATTGTTTTAAAAATTTTTTTTTCTTTTGAATAAAAAAATGATATCGAAAAAAAAATCTTTAGTTAAGAAAAATGTGGGCGGACGTCCTCCTAGTGAGGTATGGAAATGGTTTGTAAAAGGAAATGAAACATCTAGAAAAGGATATTATTCCGCAACGTGCAGATTTTGTGATGAGCACTGGGATATTGCTAAGCCAAGTAAACTCAAAACGCATCTTGCGTATGAATGTCAAAAAGTTGATTCAGAAATTAGAGTTGAAGTTTTAGTAACATTAACAAACGATAGTATCGATTCGGATAATGATACGGCCTCAACATCAACTACAGCAAGTAAAAGGTGAAAATTAGGTGATAATATTGATAATGAATCTCGATATGAAAATATCCCGACTTCATTAAATAAGGAAGATCAAATAAATAAGATATTACTAAAAATGGTTGTATGTTGTAATTTACCTTTTGCCCTTGTCGAGCATCCCTTTTTTCAAGAATATACCAAAGCGTTACGTGCTACATACAATATTCCAAGTCGTTGGGTTTTATCCAATACTCTTTTAGACCAAGAACTTGCTCGAGTAGATCTAAAAGTTAGACGAATTCTTGATAAGGAAGCAAATCTTACGATTGCATTCGACAGATGGACAAATCCTACAGGTAATGTTGATTAGCATTAGTTGCAACTAATCTATTATTAATAAATTATAGCTAATCAATTAATCGATTAATTGATTAGTTGCAACTAATCACTAATCGATTAATTGATTAGTCGATTAGTTATGATTTTAATCAATTAGTTAACTAATTAACTAATTGATTTTGATTTGTAATATTACCTATAGGCCAACCTATTTATGACTACTGTATAATCACTGAAGACCATAAAGAATATCTTTGGTCTTCAAAAAATTATTCTAGTATACCTCATCATACTGGTGCATTTCTTGGTGAAGAAATCATTAAGGTCATCGAAGATATTAGCCCTAAAAAAATAGCTGCAGTTGTATCCGATAATGGATCAAATGTTCGTGTTGCACGAAGAACTTTGTGTGAGAAATATCCTTATATTTTGGATATTAGGTGCATAGCACATTGCATTAATTTAATTACGGAAGACTTGTGCAAACACACATTTGTAAAAAGCACGGTTTGGAAAATAGGCACTATTCATCAATATTTTACAAAATCGCATGCCACATGTCAATTTTTAAAAGATGCAATTAAAGTATTAAAAATTAAGAGTGGCGATTTAAAGGATCATACAAAAACACGTTGGTCTACAATGTGGGATTGCGTTAGTTCAATTGTATGACTTGAATTTGCCTTTGTGGGAATAAGTATTAATTTTTTTTTAATTTTCAGTTTATTTTTGTGTGTACAAGTCATTGGTATCAAAATTATAACTAGCTGTAACTTGTTAATTAAAATGCGGCAAATTTGAAACTGACGTAATGCAGCTTGTGCTGCAACTATATCGTAATTAGTACGTACGTATGATATATGAATGGGTAAGGTAGCCTGAATTATTACAAAACTTATACATACCGTATAGTCTTGCGCAGTAATCTAGCCGGAGTACGTACGTACATATAAGATTTTTTGTATTGACTTGAGACAAGAACACCATCATTCTTGGTTATTAATATTTTCAAATGATTCCGTTGTGTAAATTCTTGCAAAATAAATTTAGGTAAAATTGATGTATACATTGGAACTTGGATCTGGTTATCCATTTCACAGATATCCAGCGGATTTTACTATTAAATTTGCATCCAACGGATAATCGAATCCAAACTCTAATATTAGTTAGGGCTAGTTATGACATTAATTAATTAATTACAGCAGGATATACTGCCACAAAATCTAATTCCCGTTTAGAGATAGACATATTTATGCAACAGGGCTGTAATTATCTTAAAATAAAATTTGTAAATCAGGCTAGGTCATAGTGCACTTCTAATCCTGTTAATGCCTACCCTTATTCTAATGAATCTAGGTTCTTTTGGAACATAAGAATGATCTTAAAGCTCAAATTAAAGACATTCTTCGCAATCGAATTTTTTATGAAGATTGTTGACTTATTGCATCTATTCTTTATCCCCTTAAAATTTCTGTTGGATGTCTAGAATCGAGGACTTCTAATCTTGCCGATTGCTATGTCTATTTAATCTTATTAGCAAATGCAATTTTTCGTTTACCGAATCAGAATTTAACATTTAAAAATTACTGCATTGAGAAATTTAATCGTTGCTGGGATGAATTTTCTAATAATATCTATCTTTTGGCTTTTTTTTTACATCCACAATATCATGGTATATAATATTACAATTATTTTTTTTTATACGTAAATAAAAATTCTATTAATAATTTTTTTTTTTTTAGATAATGGTATTGATTTGAAAAGATTTCGTGATATCAGTACAACGGCTGCACAAATTTAGAAAGATATGGGACATGATCAAGACTCGTGCAGCAAACTATTGTTCCAAATACGAAAATATAAAGATAAAAAGGCGCCGATTGATCAACCGTACAATCCTAAATCGGATACGCCAATTCTTTGGTGAGATACTGCAAGTACAAAGACAGATTGGGAATTACAAGCATTAGCACTTCGTCTTTTTGCTATAACTCCACATAGTGCTTCTTGTGAACATTCCTTTTCAGTTCTTGGTTGGCTTTATAATCAACGGCGTACCAATTTGGCTACAGAACGAGTGGAAGGAATGTGCAAATTACATACCTTTTATATTACTAATGCTAAACAAGAATTACCTTGTTATGTGATTGACGTACCTGAAAATTTATTACGTAACCAAATATTAGATTCTGTCGCAGCAATTAATAGTGAAACCGATGACGCCACTGAATTTTTTAATATAAATATCTCAACAGATAATGATAATATTAGTACAGAAATAGATACATCCCAGACATATACTTTAGATATCATGAAGGATATAGATATTGGGTTGCAAATGTTCAATATAGAGCGAAAAGCAAATGAAAATGAAATAACAGTAAGTCCAAGAAGACAAACTGTCATATTAGATTCACAACGCAATAATTTTGACGTTGAAGCATTAGCTAGAAATATGTCAATGGAAATTGATGACGATAAGGATTTTTAGATTTGTCTTCAAGCTAAAACCAGTAAGCGGATATTTGTTTTTGTTGTATCAGACTAATTCTGAAAAATTAAAATCTTAAAACCACAATTAGTTTTTTTTTTAATGAAATTTTTCTAATGTAATATTTATATATTTCTTAAGCAGTATTACGGTGGGCTAGTATATAAAATGCAATTGAATACTGTTCAACAAACGTTTTGCCGAAAATATTTTTATATACTTTTTTATATCAATAATTTCTGACTCTCAAAGTAACACATTAACTAAGGACAATTTAATAAAAAAAACTTTGTTTTGTAGTATATATTCTGTTTCCCCGATTATTTTATTAGCACATGACAATGAGTTAGATAAAGGAATAGTGAAATAAACTTTGGATTTATTAGGCTGCATGTATTTTTCCAAAACAACTAGAACATTTATTGTACTGTGTGTGTGCTTAAATAAATATTTTTTTTTTCAGGGATAAGTTTTACATACTGACTACTTAAAAAATATTCACTTTCAGGTTTCAATTTTATAAAAATAAGTTTCGGCTAAATTTGGAATTTCGGCAAGGGTTTTGGATTCGTCATAAGTTTCGACTCAGGGTTTCAGACTTTTGGTTTCGTCAAAACCATTAAAAGTTTCGGTCACATGTATAGTTTAGGAAAACTTGACAATAAATAACTTTATAATAGCGTATTTGCAGAAAAATTCAGAATAAGATTTGTGGGTCAATAACGCAGTGGTTAGCGCTCCCAGGTCACAATTAGGGATGGTAACGGTTATGATTATGACCGGTCATGACCAGTCATAACCGTTAACCGATACCGGTCAGTTAGAGACCCTTGACCGACCGGTTAAAAATCTGATCAATAATAAAAATTAATGTAATAAATATCCTTATCAGTCATGGGACATGTCCTTTTATAAGGGTTCCAAATGTTGATCATATGATAATTTAGATGTCGATCATTCAATTTTATATAGAAATTTTACTCCTGTGAAAGGTTTTTTATATAACAACCCCAAATTTGTGAAACAATTCAACTATTACTTTTTAAATCAAAAATGTAAATCGAATATTGTTTTATTAAATTACAAAGTTTCGGTTCTTAAACTTTTCTAGTTTAGCTATAATCTTCGTTTGAATTTGGAGTATACTAACCTCCATAATATATATAGTTCTGATTGACTTTGCAACTTCCACCTCCCTAATGACACAATTTTTCCGGCTCCACTTCCTTAACGACATGATTTTTCAGTGATCTACTTCACCAAAAACTGGTTTTAGTGTGCTTTGTAAAAACACCACGTTATTCTTATAGTAATAATCTTGGATCAGAAAGAGGAAAAGCACTACTGAAGCACTTTGCAAGAATACCACTCTGACTTCCTTGAATATTTATGATAATACTCTTGGATCAGAAGGCAAAAAAGCATTAGCTGTTGGCATTTACTAATACCGAAGAAGCTGGTTTGTTATATATAAGAGGCACCTGCTTTGTACCTTTACTAATTCAATATTTTTTTGCCTACAGGCTGCAAATCTCGTGAAGAATAGTCACCAACAAATAGATCTGAGGGCAAGACAGAACACATGTATTTCATTACATGTGAAGTTCACATTTCATCATTTCATTGCATAGTTTAGATTTCGTTGTGTAGTTTAGATTTATTGTGTAGTCTAAACTTCTTTGTGTAGTTTAGATTTTATTGTGAAGTTCATATTTCATTTCCTGTGTAATTTTAAATATATTTTTGGTTATATTTGAATTATTTATATAACGATATAGCTGGTAATATTATATTACTGAATATAATACTTTTTTTTTTTTTGATGTTCAGGTGGGATCTTGCCCATAACTTTATTTATTGTTAATACTTTTATTATATATATTATATTTTTCGTATTTATATATATCAAGTACACCAAGCTTAGACTCGAATCCTATTGGTTATCTACGCTCTGGCGAAACTGTCACTTGCACGATAGGTGTCCCCATCCGCTATCTGGCCACTGATCCATTATCTGCGATCCAAACCTACCGGAGCGGTACATCCTTATGGATAGCACTCACCTGGTATTTTTTCACCCTTCACTAGTCCTATTTTGGTACACTTCCCTATGACATCATTCTCTGCATCTCTTATACCACTTATATCTAAGCTCCCAAATTTGGTAATCCCTTCTGGGATATGGCATCATAGCCTCAAAGGCTACTTCCAATCTTGGTTATCTTCAGCTAGTCTGCCCAGGTAGTATCATGAAGAGGAACTCATGTTGGCCCAGGTTAAGCTTCTTATTAACACCTAGTTTAGTTAGTATGCTGCCAATTCCCGTTACCTTTATAGGTAGGTACTCCTGTGTATTGGTGCAGGCTCGCTATATTGCGTTATAGGTTACTCCATAACTTTCAGATTGCGGGTTTCATATTACTTCTCTTCTATAGTTTGAGCTATAGTGTTTTGGTGCCCTGGCATTTTAGGTTACAGAACTCTAGGGGTCTAGACCTAGTTGCGGCTTGTGGTCTGTAATACTTCTAATTTTAGTATTTGGTGTTCCTTATCAATTTCTGGTATACAAGCCCGATTTGTATAATTGTACTACCAGCCCGGTGAATCTAGCCATTTCAAGTTTTTACTATATACCCTAAGTTTTAGCCTTCTTGCTCTGTCTTCACAGATTTCTTCCTTAATAGGCCCAGTGGCTTGAGGCCAGAGGTGCTTCCGAACTCTGAATGAACCAATCCTTTACTACAACTCATCCTCGTGTTCACCACTTTTCTCACTACTCCAGGTTTGTTACCGTCGTATCACTCTCCCAATTAAGTACCCCAACCGCTGGGGATGTTGGTACTGCCCGGTCACCCCTAATTGAGGACTAACATGCGCAACCTTTCATGTAACAAAACCTTCCATGACCTGTCATACGTAGTGCCACCACTCCACAATTAGACCTCCTTCCAGGAATTTTCTTTTTCGGTTTCATACTTGCACTTGGACTTAACCACAGGGCTCCGCATTCAATTATGGCCTCCTATTGGATTACAGAAGCAAAAATCTCAAGATTTTGTCTCCAGCCTAACTTGAACCATCAACCTAGTCTGTGGAGGTTTGGCAGCTTAACCACTAAGCTATAGGGCCCAAACCTCCCGAATATAATACTGAACATGGCCATTTATAGAATCAGATAATT